CCCCAAAACCCCAAAACCCCAAAACCCCTTTTTAAAAGAAAATTATTGAGTTAAAATCTTATCACATGAGGGTATTCACTGCTGAATTGATTTCATTGTGAGATACCATGTCTATTCTTTTCTCTCTTTCGTAAACAGGAGCTCTCTCATGCTTTTTAAGCATAGATCTACGCTCTATTGGGGTTCTTTGACCTCTAGTATCCGCATATATTCTTATATTCCCTTTAGCTGGGTCTCTTTGATATTTGTTAGTTATGTCTCTTAACGGCTTGCTTTGAGGAACCTAAATATAGTGAAAGAACTTTACATTTTTAGCAAAAGTCCCTTGTGGTCTAAAATAAATTCTCCTATATGGCTTTTTACTCCGATGCTGTTGTTTGGCTCTTTGTTCTATTTCATCAAGTTTTTCAGAGACTGCTTTCTCAATAGACTCTTCCCTGAATTCTGGTTGTGCGCTAATCTCTTTGTCATCTTGAGGAGGAATGATTGGATCAAGGCCTCGATTAACATATCCCACAGACTTTTTGGTCTGAAGTTTAACAGTTCTCTGCTGAGGTTTAGCCTTAGCTTCTTCAACTGATTTATTCGCTTTATGGAGTTTTTTAAATTATTTTGTCCATCTTAGCCTTGTATTTACTTTTCTCTTTCTTTTTAACAAATTCATAAATTTCTTTGAATTCTTTATTTTTGATCTTTTTCTTGTTGAAGTTTCATCAATTCAGCATGCATTTGATGAGGATCGACTATTAACCCTGGATTAGGATGGAATTGCTGCATTGGATAAGGAGCCTGAGCAGGTACTATGTATGGCATTCCAGGAAATCCTTGACCTGAGTGGAAGGTATGATTTTGAGGATTATCCATGGTATTATTCCTATTTTCTAAAAATTACAAAGTTTTCTTACTTTTCCGCCTATTCTTGCCATGGAATGATATAGGGGTCCTTTCACTTTCATTCCCATAATCTGAGACTTTATCATATTGGTGAGGGTTATGTATTGTCTGTTGGTGGTAATCAAAAGTATTTAACTTGGACTTCTTGTTATCAATAGAATTGCAAGGAAGTTTCTTCACACTTGAGTAGTTTCTCAAGTATCCAGGAGTTACATGAGTGCTTACAGGATAATGAAAGCTTCCTCTGGTAAGTTTATTAATATCCTTAATAACGTTATCCAAGCCAAAGTTGACGTCCATAGCTAAGGACACAGGATTTTTGTAATTATTACTCTGAATTCTTGGGGATTTTAATGCATAACCATGAGAATACATGGGGTATTCCTTGCGAGGCTTGTCAGAATACTTCCTAGAGTTTTTGTGCTTACTCTTCGAACTAGAGGAAGAGGAAGACGAACTGCTATTCATCTTCTTGCTCTTCGCTTTGTCGGAGGATTCTTTCTTGCTCTTGGTATGATGAGAAGACTCTTTCTTATCTTCCATTAGAAATTTGATATTTTAATTTAAATCCGTTAAGAATAAATGGGGTTTTGGGGTTTTGGGGTTTTGGGGTTTTGGGGTTTTGGGG